TCACCTCCTATTACCCTCACACTGGGAGTTAGGATCTCAACATCTCATTTTGGTGGCTGGACATGAACTTCCAGTCCATAACCCCAAGCAGTGTGTCAAGAGGAGCATGAACATCAGCATCAGAAGACAAGTGAAATGACAGCTGAGAATTGGCCATGGAATAAGTGACTGGTGACCTTCGGGAGAGTAGTTTGAAAGGTGTGGCAGAGGCAAAGGCTCAAGGGAGGTTTGTACTTGGATGTTATCAGCATCTTTATTCTTAACAGCTGCAACCTGGAAACAGCCCAACTGTTCATGAACAGGTGAATGGAGAAAAAAATAAACAGTATGCCATCTACAAAGTGGAATAGTATTCAGAAATAGAATGGACTACTGATTCACAATATAGTGAATCTCAAAAAGCACTGAGCCGAGAAGCCAGAAACAAGAACGTGCAGCGTGTGCTCCCCTTTACTTACAGTTGTCTGAGTCCCAAGTTCAGGTGTGGAAATTTAATGACCAATGTGATGCTAATAAGGTGTGGGCCTTTAAGAGGTGATTAGACTCCATGGCCTGCTCCTCAGGAATAAATGGAACCCTTATGAAAAGCCTCATGCAGCCTTACTTAAGGTCTCTAGCCTTTACTTCCTCTGTGGGGACAGGCATCCTCTCCTTCAAAGATACAGCAAACAGGAGTCATCATGGAAGAAAGGAACAGCCCTCCCCAAATGAACCTGCTGGGACCTTGATATCCCTTTCCTCCAGAACTGTAAGAAAATCAATTTCTGTTCTTTATAGATTGCCCAATCTGCAGCATGATTAGTCACACAAATGGGCAAAGACAGTATTTGAAGTTCTGAAATAGGCAAAACAGGTTTATATTGGTAGGAATCAGATTAGTGGTCACCTGGGAAGGAGAGTGGGATAAGTTTTGACTGCAAAGTGGCACAAGAAAATTTTATGGTATGAAGGAAACGTTCTAACTCATAACAGGGGTGATGGTTCCCTGGGTGTATGCAAATCATCATACTGTTCACTTAAAGCTTGTGCACTTTATTATATACAACATATAGCTCAAATGTTGGGAGGAGAGAAAAAAGTGAACAGACTCTTTGAGGGGATTCAAGGAAAGAGGAAACTAGAAATATTGCAGAAGAGGGAGGGGGAGATGTAGTCAGGAGAATTTTTTTTTTTTTTTTAAGATAGCATACAATTGGGCTGTCATTTTTCCTAACTGGGGAAGAGCAGAGAGAGAAAATCTGATGATACAAAGGAGAAAGAGGAAGGAGGAAATACAGAAGCAACATCTTTGAGAAACTGAAGAAGCCCAGGGAGCAGGGCCAGCCTTGACCAAAAGTCCTGAAGTCCACCAGGTGGGAAGGCATGATGGGACAATGTTGCTGGGAGTGTGTGAACCTGTGGACCTTCCTCCTGATGGGTTCTGTTTATAACAAGGATTTCAGCTGAAAGTAATAAGGAAGGGGGAGGTCCTGAAGGTCTTAAGTTATCAAATAGCTCACGAAAGAGAATCAGAGACTAAATGAACCAGGGAACCACGGACTGATTTCCAGGTTGTCTATGAACCACTTGAGATTAGGGAGCATGAACTGGAGAGAACCTGTCAGCATGGTTCAGAGTTTTGCTCTAGCCTCACTGAGCTCACAGGTGCCATCACCGGTTGGAATTAAAGCAGGATGGTGGTTTAGCCCAATGTATAGGAAAGGGAAGTAAGGGAGTGCTGGAATTTAAGCTGGGCAAGGAGGGAAGTAAACATAAAGGGGCAGTGAAACTGTATTAAGAATCAAAGAATTCTGTGTTGGTGGAGTTCAGGGATCTTAAGAATTGCCATACTAAAGGAAGTGAACTGAAAAGGTAGCTACTTAGAATGACTAAGGAGTTGGAGTTTGGGGTTATGGCCAGTTCTAAAATTGGATGGCTGTAGGTGTGGCTGAGATAAAGTAGAAAGCAAGATCATTTGAGGGAAGTCAATAAACCAAAAGGTGAGGCTATAAAGGGTCACGCCTATGAGAAATTGGTATGGGAGGTGCTAGCAGCTAACACCTGGGGGAAGCGGGATGCCGGTGTTAGTCTTCATGAAGAGATGAAAGACATTAAGGGGGTGAAAGAGAAGGTTTGAGGGGCACCCAAAAGCAACGAAGTCACCTACCCTGAATCCAGATCTGGGGGGATGAGTGGTATGTGTGTTAAGGGTAGTTGTCATTTAAGAGGGCTGCCAAGGGAAGCAATGACCTCCATAGACAGCCAGGGACTTTGTATAAAGAAGGGGGATATACAGAACTGCATGGAGATTAGAGATGGAGGATGAACTGGGAGACCTGGGCTTCTTGGGATGACATGGATACCAATAAAGGATAGTGTGAAATTAGTCCTGATAGTCCCAAATCTATGGTTCTGAGGTTGGAAATTCTACCAGAGAGTCCTGCTAGAGATTTGTAGAGTTCTTGGGGCTTCCATATTCCATCTAAGCTAATGGGGTGGCCTGGTGGGTTCACTTCTAGTGTCAACAATTTCCAAAACTATTTCAGCTACTGTTTTATTTTTGAGACAATAATTTTAAAACTTATTAAAGTTTAGCAACAGAAACTGTGGCAGTAGAAAAACATTTAAATTTTTTCAATGTTTGAGCATATGTAGGCTTTTTTGTAATTAGCACAACCAAGTTTCTTGCTTTTTCCCCTTTTATTGTGAGCTTTTCCAGGTAGCCATGAGAAACTGATATCTTTATTAGATGCATAGTTTTTCATGAAGTGACTATGTCTTTACTTAAATGCCTCCTTTACTGTTAGACTATTGTTGATTTCTTTCATTTGAAATAATTACAATGAACAGTTGATAGTTTTTTCTGTATATTTATCTACACTTTGAACATGAACTGATTCACATTAGCAAGGATGTGGAGACAACAAGTGAAAGCTTAATTGTAAAGGTTAAATGAATTATAAAGATTATTTCAGAAGTGCTTTGTTTATGCATCATTCTGCTTGGAAAAGTTAGGGTAAACTTTAGAGCAAGAAAACACTCAAATTTAGAGAACAGGTGAACCTCCAAGCCAAGAGAGCTTTGTTGATGATGGGGAAGGGCTCATTATACACCTTGCCATGGTCTCTAGGATAACAATGGGGTGGGGAAGATAAGAGGCCAAAACCCGCTGATCTAAAACTCCCCAAACTTCTTAGAGACCCAGAAGCCAGTGAGGCTAAATCCTTTCTTTAAACTCACAAATCAAGCTGGGTGTGGCGGGGCTGAGGCAGGTGGATCACAAATTCAAGGCCAGCCTCAGCCACTTTGTGAAATCTCCTTTCAAAATGAAAGCAGAAAGGAGGGCTGGGGGTGTTGCTCAGTGGTAGAGCAATCCTGAGTTCAATCCCCAGTGTTTTTTTTAAAGCTCATAAATCATTAGTTATTTTGTAACCTATGGGTGGAGTTTTATCTTTAACTTTGAAACTTTTTTTTTTTTTTTAACTAGGAATTGAACCAAAGAACACTTTACTACTGAGCTACATCCCCAGACCTTTCTACATTTTTTTTTTTTTTGGTACCAGGGATTGAACTCAAGAGCGCTCTACCACTGAGCCACATCCCCAGCCCTATTTTGTATTTTATTTAGAGACAGGGTCTCACTGAGTTGCTTAGTGCCTTGTTAAGTTGCTGAGGCTGGCTTTGAACTGGAAATCCTCTTGCCTCTGTCCTCCAGAGGGGCTGGCATTAAAGGCCTGGCTTTTCTACCTTTTGAGACAAGGTCTCACCAAGTTGCTTAAGGTCTCACAAAATTGTGGCTGCCTTCAAACTTGCTATCCTCCTGCCTCAGCCTTGACTGCTGGTATTCCAGATATGTGAAAAGTCCTTTTTGCACATTTTTGGTCCTGTTAGAACTTTGTACACTAAGTCAATCAGGTACATCTCATTTTGCTAATCTCCTTGTAATCAAACGTTACAATTCAGACATCAGTTTCATGTATATAAATCCTGTATTTTTTTTTAAAACTAGGTTGTTTTGGCATCTTCAATGGCTCCACATTAGACAAATTAAAAAAAAAAAAAAACCCAAACCTTGTAATCTGTTTTCTGTGTCCATCTCCTTTATCATGACTGTTGAGTCATATGAGAAAATACTCTTTTCTCTGATCCACTATATCTGAAAATAGATGCATTACTTTTTCTAGGTAAATTTCCTTTACAGATTATAAATCTCATTTAAATGTTTCACTTGGAATTTACCTCTATCATCACCTCTCAATTCTAAAAGGTAACATGTACTCTAAATACCATTATTGATCTAACCTGCTGCCCTTACAAGTGTGAAAAGGTCAGTTTCAACAAACCAAGCAATAGGCAAGGAGTTGGAAAACTTTAAATGACCAGGTAGGAATACTTTCAGCTTTGTGGGCCATAGGATGTCACATTATTCAACTCTGCAGGACAAAGGCAGCTATAAAAAATGTAAACCACCAAGTGTGGCTGTTCCAATAAAATTTATTTACCAGAACAGGCAACAGGGTGGGTCTGGCCCCACAGCTATAGTTTGCCACACTTTCAGTAAACATTTGACCTTGCCTCTCATCATAAATTGGTGTCTCTGGAAGAGTTCTAATCTATAGCAAGTATAGATTAAATTTGTAAAGTGCTCTTTTCAGTTTTGCAACTAACTGAAGTATGTCTGAAACTCTGTGACCAGGCTGCACACTTGGCATGTTTTTGTTATTCTGGTACATGAGAACAGTGGAATCTTGGGCATTTGGGATATATGCTATAGATCAGCAATTTGTCAAAAATCCTGGCATGGCCAGCAGAGAGGAGTGGTATATCAGCTATTCTCTTGTGGAATGGTCTCAGCAGTACTGTTACCTTTTTTCCTCCCTCTGAAAGCATGGTTGCTGAGACTCCTGTGAACTAATCTCAAATCAGTAACTTCATGAGACATTTTAGTTATTCTACTTTGAGAAGTAGGGTGCTGAAGGCCACTCTGGAGAAGCAAGGTCCTTACTCTTCTCTATACCCTCTTGGGCTTATTTGAAAATTAAACTACTGTACTGTTTTTTTTTTTTTTTTCAGTGTCCTGTAGGACTGGGAGTGCAGCTCAGTGGTAGAGGGCTTGCCCACATGAGCAAGGCCTTGGGGTCGATCCCTGGCAAAAAATGGAGTGTGTCTTACTGCAGCTCTGGCTATTTACTGAACAATTTTGTGTAATGCGCACACCTGCTTGAGTTGTTTTCTTGCAACACTTCTTCCAAAGTGCTCTCTTCAGAACACACTGTTCTGCATACAGATGACTATCATATACCACACTTGGAGGAGCCTCACACATTACAATATAATCATGTTAGTTTTCACAAAGGAAACCAGGAGAAAAATGCATTTTCTTAATAGAAGCAAATTGGTATCTATAAATGCTCATCTGCCCACAGCCTGAAAGGACACTGTATTTATCATTGTCAAGGGCTATGAAGTACTTATTTTTCACAGCAGTTTAATGACAGAAATTCCAACTGAAGGGCGACATTTGGATGCTCATGTTCTCATAAAATGCTTAGGTACATAAATTAGAATGTCCCAGCCTGGGAAGGCGAACTGAAAAGAACAGATCTACCAACTGTAGCTAGGCTGGGAGAAGAATCATTGGGTGAAAAATCCCATGAAAACAAGTTTTAAGGAGAAATAATTTTTTGAGAAATATTTTTTTTTATAAATAGTAGGAAGTTCTTGTTATACATTTACAAAACTCACAAAATTTGTTTTTTGGCACTTAAAATATTCATCTTCCATCTTTACTTATTGGGTTACTCTAACTTATTCAAATTTGTATAGGAAGCCATTTAAGACAACATATTTAAGTACTTTAAAAGAGAAGCTGAACATGGTGGTGGGCACCTGTGACCCCCCCGATTTCAAGGCCATCAATGGCCACATGAGACTCTGGCTCAAAATCCAAAAAGTACTTTAAATGCTCAAAATCCAAAAAGTACTTTAAATGATATCAGCAGCACATTTTCAGTAATGGTATGAATCCTGACAAAAACAAACTGGCTGCTTTAACCCAGTGAAAACGAAAATCATGCTTATGAAGGAAGATTAGTTTCAAAGGGGCTTTCTTCCCACTTCTAATTTACTTTTCTGATAAAAACCAAAAGAAAAATTCTTTTTGATATAGGCTTACCATTTTAAATATTTGTTATCTTCTTGTCCATTCATGTATGAAGGCAATAGTTATTATCTGATGGAGCTAATAATTCTCAAACTAATCAAATATTGATGCTATATTCTTTGAAGGGGTGTGAATGTACAATGACTCCTAGCATTTATTTAGTGTTTTTTATGTGCCAGGCACTGTTCTAAACATCTGAAATGTATAACAAACTGCAAGCAGAAGCTGGAGCTGGTGTTTGAGCACAGACACCTGAGGATGTCTTGTTTTGACAAAGAACCAGACATTTAATTTAAGTGAGGCACATGGTCCACTTCTCCTATTAAAATACCTATTTTTTAAACTGAGCAGGTGTCACACACCTGTAATCCCAGCGACTTGGGAGGCTGGGGCAAGAAGATTGCCAGTTTGAGGCCCTAAGCAACTTAGTAAGACACTGTCTCAAATTAAGCAAACAAATAAAAAGGATTGAAGATATGGCTCAGTGATAAAGCACCCCTGGGTTAAAACTCCAGTACCCTGCTCTCCCAAATCCAATTTTTTTTTTTTTTAAAAAGATTCATTTTGTCTAGAATGCTTCTGATTTGGTGTTACTACCCTGAAATATCTTTTAATGCTAAGAGTTTTGTATATTTTATTGAATATTTTTCATTTTTCATTTCAAAATGAATCAATTGCAAATGACATAATTTTACAGAGATTTAAATGTACTAATAGTTACATATATAACCTTTGCACATCTAGTTTGAAAAACATAATGTTAGTAAATAGGAGCACATTTATCTTATTTTTAAAAAACTTCTATGAAACCTAGGATCAATATATTTGAAATTAGATTTCCTGGGTAATGCTAGAAGTCTATGGCTAAAGAATATTCACAAAGAAGGAATAAACTACAAAATGAGAACTACAGCATGTGAGATAGGATGGTCAAGTATGATATCCTCAAATCTGATTTGTAGAAGGCCAATACTTGCTTTCAGTTCCTTACGCTCGTTCTTTAACATTATATTCTGATATTCTCAAATAATACAACTAAAAACTATTGCTCCTTACAGAGAAAACCTGCAATAAAATGTGTGCTTCCCTGTATAACTAGTTTAATAAACATTATCTAAAAACTAGTATATTAATTTAAAATTTATAGTAGGAAACTTACTAAAAGCAAAAAAAGACTATCACTGAAAACAGGCCCATCTGAGGGACTGCATTTGGCTAAATCTGGCTAAGCAGACTTCTAAGAATACAGTAACTATGCACCATGAGGATAAGCAGGTCCCTGCCCTGGGTGATACGTGAGCTTCTCTTGCCTCCCTTACTGAGGAGTCTCACGAAGGCAGGATCTGCTTCCTATGCCCACACTAAAACTTGCAAGTTGTGCTTTTTATAGCTTTTTTCACTGGAGACCATAAGTTTGAGTTGAATTATTCAATGTGACTGTCACAATGAGAGAACGAGGATCTTTCTTATTCTTATGAACCGTGATCTTTCCTTTCAAGACTTCACCTATAAAAGAAAGGCAAAAAAAAAAAAAAAAGGTTAAGAATTCAAGAAATACAGTCTAGTAGAAAAGTTCAGGATACCTATCAATTTCCTTTTTGTGTGTGTGTGTTGATATTTCCCTAATTTTTAAACATTTTTATTTATTTTTAAAATTAATAGACTTCATTTGTTAGGGCAGTTTATTTTATGTATTTTTAAACAAGACAAGAACTAACTACAATGATAGTATCAAATCCTTGAGAAAGAGTGCAGAACCACAGTGGTCATGCAGGGTTAGGGAGCAGTTTTATTAAACTCTTGAACAGAAGGCTGTATGGTGGGTTCTGGGCATAGAGAAAACCAAATGAGAGGATCCTGTCCACAAAGAGTTCATGATCAAGGGTGAAAGAAATAGCTATTATCAATAATTGCATGACAAGCTTGTGTCTAAAAGTGTGCTGGAGGTGAGGATGGTTGGAAAGCAAGAAAGGGCAGTTTTATGAGAATCAGTGACGTATCCAAGGGCAGGGCTAAAGTCATGGCTAACCAGACTTAGAGTGTATATGTAATGGCAGTTATAAGGGACAGAAACCATGTACAATGAGCTTTCAGTGAATGGCATTTTGAGGAAAATCAGATGGGAAAACTTACATTACATATCTGTTTAAAGGCAAAGGCCAAGTTCCTAAACATTGATTGTCCTTTTTTTATTCCAAAATGGAATTATTTATGTGCTTCTGATATAAATAAATACTTCTCATTTAATTTTTTTTCATCCATTTGTGAAGAGTTATTTAAAAATAACAAGAGAGATTGCTCAGTTGTAACTGATCATCATTCCTTGCTTTAATGAGAGTAAGATCACACCAACAGAATTAGGAATAGCTTCATAATCTGGGTAGACACTATGAGACTTCAAGTAAGAGGACTGAGGCATCCTCGTAAATACTTAATAAAATACTTAATAAAACAAACAACCACAAAACAAAATAGCCACAAGCAAAATCTAACAAAACCACTGAATTGATATTTTCAGAATATAATGATCCCATTACTGTCCCATTCTATATACATTTTTGCAAAAAAGGTGAGACATGTACTTTAATGCAAAATTAAGAAATTAAAGAAATAATGTAGTACAAGGTACATTCCATTCAGCAAAATATAAAAAATGATTTTAAGTTCAGTCATAAATTAATGTGTACACGTGGCTTTAGCTTTTATATCTAATTTACTCCTCTATATTAATTTTTTTTTTTTAGTTTTTGATAGACCTTTATTTTATTTATTTATATGTGGTGCTGAGAATTGAACTCAGTGCCTCACATGCCAGGCAAGTGCATCACCACTGAGCCCTAGCCCCAGCCCCAGGCCCAGCCCCTTATTCCTGTATATTGTTAAGAAAATGAAATAAATGCCGTATTTCATATGCTATGCTCTGTGGGAGACCAACCTTACATGTGACTGAGTCACGCTCCCTGGCTGGGTGCTGAGGTGCTCAGTCACAGAAAGGTGGCAGAGCTTTCCCCACCCTTCTTGGGTTCGAGGGTCAATGTCTCGTGCATGGGTATGTCTTGCTATCACCCCATGGGTGAAGCTATGCTCACCTGTTCCTTTGTAATATAACCCCTTGCCCTGTTTAGGATAGAATCTTCCATGGAAGTGCATTGTGTGTGTGTCCCCTTCTCTTACTGTGCCCTTGGGTGTGGCCTACCCAGATGTCCATCAACCTGCTGACAGTGGACATCATGAAGATAGACTCAGCCCCCTGAAACCTGACCCCTTGCCTCATTTGAATAGCTTCTCCTCAATAAAAGGGGTCAGTGCATGCTCAGGCTTTCTCTCTCTCTCTCTTCCTGCGGACCCTTAAGATCAGAGGAGCCTTCACAGCGACCCCAAAGAAAAATGTATTTGTGTCTCTTGTGTGGTTATTTTGCACAGCCCAGTTAGCCCAGTTTACCTGGAGTGACCTCTGAGCCTTTTAATCTCGAAAACAGAAACCTGGCAATGCTCACAATAGCATTCTTGGGAGAGTACCAGTAACATGGCCTTCACAGTGTTCAGGCAATCATTAAGTAATAATAATTGATAATATTTATTCAACACTTATTTTGTCCCAGCTCTGAGAAAATAATCTTTATAGCTTTAAATCTAGTATAATAAACAGGAAAGAGTCTAAATTTTACTACCCTGTGACATCTTTTTGTAAAGACAGTCACTTGCTTATAAAAACATTAATATTTAAATTCATATACTTTAATACATATTATCTGTTAAAGAAATGATTTAGGGAAGAAATAAAAAGTCAATATTTTCAAACATTTGAAAAATTTCAATTTTGAACACAGATAATATTTAGCTTTTATCAACATTTTTAAACTTCTATTTTATACCAACAACCTTACCTTGAATTTACTATTTATAGATACTGAAACGGGGAAGGAATGGCAATTTTATGTTAAACTGACATTGTTTTAATAAGTACATGATGGAGAACAGTAATTATGAACTTGCATACTGGGTTTCACTTACATTTTGAATTTTCAACACTGAAGACAACTGTTGATTTTTACAATTTAATGGCTTGTTTCTTCTCACTTATTAACAGTATATCTTGGTGTAACTCATCTAATTTAGTTAATGTTTTATAAAGGAGTTCATATGTATAAAAAGACAGATAATATTTGAGGTTCACAAATAATAAAATGACCTCCACGAATCCAAAAAGGCTCAGAACCTCACCAACACTAATGAAACCTCCTGCTGTGTCCCTCTACCACATCCCCCCCTTTTTTTTTAAAAAAAAAATTTTTTTAGTTGTAAATGGACATAATCTTTATTTATTTATTTTTGTGGTGCCGAGGATTGAACTCACTACCTCACACGTGTGAGGCAAGCACTCTACCACTGAGACATAACCCCAGCCCCCACATCCCTCTTTTTTATGAGGCAACCAGAACTTTTTTGTTCCATTACCTATTCAAAATAATTTTATTTCATGTAGGTGTACCCTTAATATCTGTGTTGCTTAGTTTAACAATATACTATTTAGCATTTATATGCTCTAAAACGTACAAAGCAATGTAAAATGTACTGTATTTCTTCCATGGCTTGCTTATTTCATTCAGTGTTTGAGATTAATCTGAGGCAAGTAGCTACAGTTCACTCATGTTCCCAATGGTATTGTATTAAGCTGTATTAATGACTGCTATTTATCCATTCTTTTTGAATTATTTTGTTTCTTATTATACAAAAATGCTATAACGATTCCTATATATAGACATGTGTCATGTAACAACATTTTGGTTGGAGATGGACCACACATATTGTGTAGGTAAGGGAATAGCAGGCTCTATCATCTAGGTTTCTGTAGTTACACTCTGAGATTTGCCCAATGATAAAATCACCCAACAACATACATCTCAGAACATATGCCTGTTAAGAGTCCCAGGACTGTGTCTGTACTACAAGAATGTCTCTTTGTAGTATAGGAAATAAACTGCTGGATTATAGGGCATATACATGTTGAAATTACCACATAAAAACCAAAAAGCTATTAGTAAATTCAACATCAATTCATAAAAAGTCTATCATTAACATAGGAATAAAAAGAGTAACTTCCTTAGTCTTTATTAAAATCTGAAAGCAAACATGATAAAAAGCAAATATAGTGCCACTTAAAGTGAGAACACAGCAAAGATGACACCATTGCTATATTACTTATATTCTTGAATGCTCTACATAAGCATATGACAATAACTAGAATAAATTAGATACATTGTTAGGGAGAAAAAGATAAAATTAATTGCAGATGCTATTTTCAGTGAAAGAGTTGGAGAAATCTAATGTAGAGTTTGGCTAAATAATTGGCCTATGCATTGTAGGGTAAAACCCCATGGTTCTGAGCAAAAACCCAACTCCTAGGGAGCAATAAGCCAAATAATTCCCACAGCTTGGGCTTATTTGGAGATGTTTGAATTCCATGCAGCCAGGAAAGAAGGAAACTGAACAACTGTTAATGTTTTGATTTCGGAAGAAGTATCCGGTTTTGCTTCAGCACTGGAGCTAAACCACTCTGAATAAAGGCTACTCTTAGACTCCCTAACAAAACTTTAAAACGATCTTAGTAAAGATTAACTACTTGCCAAAGCAAACTTCAATATTTTCTCTTTTTTTTTTGCTGTACCCGCTATTGAATCCAGGTGTAATAATTTGATCAGGCTGGCATTGAACTCTTTTTCAATCAAAAGAGAAAAATCATGGTTGTTTCATGAAGTGTAGAAAAAGTCTTTCATGATAATAGCTCCTCAGCAAGCCAGGAACAGAAGCAATCTTCCTCAACTTGATAAAGGGAATCCATGAAAAAGTGCAGATATACTGCTGTTAATGATGAAGACGGAATGCCTTCTTCGTTGGCCTCAGAGTGAGGCAAGGAGGAGAATTTTCACTACTAGTACTCAGTATCCCATCACTGTCCTTGTCAGGGTATAAAGAGATGGGCGGGGACTGGGATTGTGGCTCAGTGGTAGAGCGCTTGCTTAGCATGGCAGGACCTGGGTTCGATCTCGGCACCACATAAAAATAAAGGCATTGTGTTTTGTCCATCTACAGAAAGATTCATTCTATCTCTTTCTCTCTCCTTAAAAAAAAAAGAGAGAGAGAGAGAGAGGATGGGCGGGTGAGGCAACAGGTTGGAAATAAAAATAAGTCTTCATTTGCAAACAATTGTTAGAGAGAAAATTCTAAAACAGTTTTTAAAAAAAGCTACTAGAGGGGGCTGGGGATGTGGCTCAAGCGGTAGCGCGCTTGCCTAGCATGCGTGCGGCCCGGGTTCGATCCTCAGCAGCACCACATACCAACAAAGATGTTGTGTCCGCCGAGAACTAAGAAAAAATAAATA